AGGCATGGCAGGATGTGCACAAAACGCCCCACTGAAAATCAGACGTACAATAGGGGCGCCAAGAGAGAAATCGATCAACATCAAAGGCCCATGACTTTTCAATTTTCAACACTCTTTCCCTACACATAACTAACCAACCTTTCTCAGTGTTCAAAAGACCTCAACAAGCACCTTCAAAGGATGCTCGATCAACTAGGCTGTAAGCAGCTGCATCAAACAGCCTAGTTGATCAGACCATCAACCAGGAGGCCTGGTCAGAGACCAGAGAACAGGTAGGCTGAAGACTGAAGTTCCCTGTTAAAATTTGGAGATATTTTCCTGCCTGGCAGCCTGCATAATGTTCCTGCCTACCCCAAGTGGATCCCATCCAGGCCTGGTTAAGCTAAACAGGTCATGTACTCTCAACCCTCGCATTATACCACAGTGCCACACCATTAATGAAACATTTTCTTTAGTAACTTTTTATTTTCATAGTAACTTTAATAACTTTTTGTCAAGACTATGTCTGGTAACGGCAGTTTGATTTGGAGGTTTTAAGAGGAAGAAGGTTGTGCTAACCCATCAAAGATATGTGTTATAGAACTCTGTGAAAATGACCGGTCGGCTGTGAGTCTTGCCAAGGAATTTGGAATAAGCGCTAGTACTATCTGTTCGCAAAGGAATCACAATGGTGTGATATGTCAATAAAAATTCTGGGATTCATCGGAACACTGGTTCAAGTCGCTCCATTGCCTCAAAACGATTTTCTTTAGCACTGTCTGTGATACGAAGAAACAAATTGATGAATACATGAACTACATATTAACCAGTGAGAGTGATGAGGCAAGCACTAGTAGAGGCAAGCTGAACTCGGTTCTTATTTGATAAGAACAGCAATCAAAGGCCCTCCAACCACTGAAGGAATCTAAAGAGGTTCAACAAGTGACACCTTACTATCAATCCAAGGATCTTCAACCAGTGAAGCCTCACCAAAAAGCCAAGAGCCTTGAATCAGTGAAGCTTCAGCGGCTGGCAGTCAAAACTTACCTTACCAAGCTCCAGCCCGTCCTCACATAAAAAGACCGAAGCTCGTTATTCTAGTCACCAAACCCCCTGTTTATGAATGAAAAGTAGTTTACACAACTCACAACTGATGACATCCAAACACTTCCAGAACAAATGCTTACAATTCATTTGTAAGTAAATACAGAATTTTTATTTGTAAACACAGAACAAAACCACAATTCTATAGATGCTTCACCCACGTGCTTCAAATACAAATAATCTAACCTAACCTAGGCCTAACTATACATAGAATTTTTATGAATAGTAATATTAATTGATATATGAGAACAAACCAATTTTTAATACACAGCATGTTAAAATTGATGAATGTGCCTGGGAAGGACGGCCATTGCTCTAACCAGCCTAGTGTGAGGATGAGCTGCAAGCTCATGTACTGTACAGTAATTTTAGTGTGGTGTTAAATTAGGTTACCTTAATTTTCAAGAATATATTAATTTCTGGGTGGAGCCCCTGGGTGGAGGCTCCCCGGAGCTTACCAGGCTGATATGCTAATGTCAGACTTTGGCATCAGTCATGTGTACGGAGTTCTTATGGGCCTACCGGGGACCATGAGCCAGAACCTGGCCCCCTCAGAGAGGCAAGGGGAGCAATGGCCTATAGAAACCCCCGTGTGGTTGGAAGCATTCTATGTCTGCTATCGACCGGGTTAGGCACCCAGAAAGGTAGGCGTCCCAAAACAAACCCCTATTCTGGTGAAAATTGCAACCAAAAGCCGAACGAGTGGATAGAACTCCCTAAACAAAAACGAGCAAACTAGTATGACGTCATTCGTCGTCGCGCCGCTGTCTGCGCAGCCCTCCCCCTCCTGGGGAGGGGGAAGGGGGACCCCCCAGACCTACCGCGCCGGCGATCCACACCCCAGTTCTTCGGCTGATGCTAGTGGCACCGGTTGTGTGCCTAGAGTGTGGTGTCACTGTACCTAGAGTGTGGTGTCTGTCTTCTAGGTGGTGCGTGAGCCGGGAGTGCGTCTCCAGTACTCGGGCTGCATGCGCCTAGGGTTCCCTTCCGTTGGGGCCCTGTAAGTACTGCCCTGTAAGTACTGCCCTTGGGACTTGGGGTTGCCTTCCACAAGTTCCTTGGGTCCTGCTTCTGCTAGGCCATTTGCTGCTCGGTTTTCGGCCGCCCTTTGTGTGATAGGGGGTTCTGTCTCCCTTGTTCGCCTTAGGGTAAGGGGCAGTTTGCACTGGCTCGTTATTGCTGGCACTAGCACTAGCTGCACAGGGTACTGTGCAGCTAGTTTTCACCAATCATAGTGGCCGGCTCTGTTCTGCCTGGGTATGCTGTACTCTTGCGGGGTTTTCTTTTTCTTTGTGTTTGTCTACCTGGTGGGGGGCTCTGCCTTTTGGTTCTTTCCCCCTTTGTACCCTTCCTCTGGGAGTGTGGTGACGTTTTTGCTGCGGTTTTGATCCTGTAGCTGCATGTGGGGGTATGGTTGTGGCTTTTTGTTCGGCCCTTTCCGTGCTCTTTCTGGCGCCTTCCTTGTTGCGGTTTTTTGTTCTCTTGATTTTCTGGGGCCCTCCTTCCTTACCGGTCTTGCTGTGCTGGGCCTGGTTTTTCCATGTTCCTTGGATTCTCTGTCCTAACCTTGTAGTCCTCGCCTAGTTGTGCTGGCTGGGGATGAGCTTGGGCTCTTCGTCTCGCCCCTCGCCTATCGTTCGCTTTCTGTTCAAGTTCTGGAGCCTACTGGGCTCTTCTCTGCCTGGACGCTGGGAGTGGGGTTGGCCTTCTCTGGTGTCTCACGTCAGACCCGTGGTTTCCGATCCCCTGGCGAGCTTGCTCGTGTTGGGGGGGTTTTCTGTTCGGCAGACGTTCCATCTCCATCTTGCCGGCCTGGGCTTCCGGCTCTGCTTCCTTGGTGGTCGCACCCGGGATCTTCCTGCGGCTCTGCCTCTTCCTAGGTTCGGATGACCCTTGGCGGTGCTGATTGCGTTCTGCCTCGGGGATCTCGCGTCTGTTGGTGGTCAGGTGGCTTCGTTGTTGGTGTCCCACCTGTGTGCTTCTTGGCGGCAGTATGGAGTGTTTTGGTGGTCCTTTCTTTTCCTTCTATCCCTTCTTTGGTGGCTGCGTTTGTTGGTGTCGGCTTGGCTTTTCTGCTGGGGGTTGGGGGCCATCAACTTGCCGCATACTGTCGCCTCATTTTATGCAGCGCTGGCGGAGCCGCTTCGCTTTTCTTTCGGACTTTCATCTGCACCATTCGTAAGCTGTCTCGTGCTTGTTTCACCTCCGGCCTGTTCTTGTGCCGCTTGAGCCGTCATAGTCTTTGGACATAGTGCTCTTTTCTTTCTTCTCGTTTTCTTGTGGCCCCTTCGGTTCCGGTTTGTTTTTCTGCTCCTTCGGATGAGGTGCTCGGTTTGGTTGTCTGCTGCCTTCTTCTTTTCTGGCGAAGGATGAGACTGTTGCTTCCGGAGGGGTTCCTGGGTTGTTTGATGCTTGGTTGGTTGGGCCGGGGGTGCATTTGTTTTTGTCCGGTTGTGGCTCTCCGCCGTGGTTGGCACAAAACGGCTTCTGGGTCCATGGACGCGATTTGGGTTGCTTTGGTTCCCTTCTTCCCTGTTAGAGGGTGCGGGTCTCCCAGGTCGTCCGCGGGGTTCTTCAGGCTCTCCAGCCTGCGTTCTATCTCCGTGCCTATGACGTCCGCAAGTTCGCGGCTCTTGCCGCCGTCTTTGGTACTGTGTCCTGGGAGGACGTTCGGGCACAGGGAATTTGGTGGTCGAACAGGATTCTTGGCTGTTCGTTACCTTATACACGTTCCTGGGCCCAGTTGGGCCTGTGTAGCTTTGGGTTGGCGGTTGCGACCTGTTGTCTCGACTTCGGATAGAGTAGTGTGCGGCGACCGCCTCCCAGGTCAGTCCCAATTTGTTTTTGTTTTTTCCTCTGGGTAGTTAGCTCTGGGGAGCCGTAGGGGCTTCCCCCAGAAAACCAGCGCTGAATATAATGAAACGCCATTTTCTGTGTGAATCCCGGAGGCTCCCCAGCATCCCTCCCACGCTCTGGTCGGCATTTTTTTTCGCGTGTTTTTGACATCCAGCCTCAGAACTGGGGTGTGGATCGCCGGCGTGGTAGGTCTGGGGCTCCCCCTTCCCCCTCCCGGGGAGGGGGGGCTGCGCAGACAGCAGTGGGACGACGAATGACGTCATACTAGTTTGCTCGTTTTTGTTTTGGGAGTTCTATCCACTCGTTCGGCTTTTGGTTGCAATTTTCACCAGAATAGGGGTTTGTTTTGAGACGCCTACCTTTCTGGGTGCTTAATCCGGTCGATGGCAGACATAGAATGCTTCCAACCACACGGGGGTTTCTATAGGCTATTGCTCCCCTTGCCTCTCTGAGGGGGCCAGGTTCTGGCTCGTGGTCCCCGGTAGGCCCATAAGAACTCCGTACACATGACTGATGCCAAAGTCTGACATTAGCATATCAGCCTGGTAAGCTCCGGGGAGCCTCCGGGACTCACCCAGAAAATGGCGTTTCATTACATTCAACGCTGGTTTTTTTTATTTCCCTGGTAAGAATTCTGCTAATCCACATGTCTGGCTTATCCGGTCGGGGATCCTTCTCATATTAGTTTGGATAAGCGAGCTCATACAGTATCTTGGTGTGGCTAACTTCAGGGAGCCACTAAGGTCCAACCAGAAAAGGCATTTCATTACATTCCATGCTGTATTTTTGTTTCCAGGAGTCCACTGGTTATAGAGTCAAATACAAAACCCCCAAAGCAGCTCTTTATAAGTGCTTTTACAAAAATAAAGTTCTCGCTTTCAACTTGAATCCAAACAGTTGCTACCCAAACTTTACTGAATGAAAGGCTGAAGATCCTATGAAACACAAGATTACCTAAATGATTACAAGTTGAAGTTTTTAAATTTGCATTGTCATGTGCATTATTAATTCTACTGGTGAGAACATGATAGTTTAATTTTATAATTATTAAAAAATTTCAGAAACATTTTACTTCTTTGGTGACAACAACCACGAAGAATGGCAGGATCTTCTTGACCTGTACGAGCCCCCACCATATACTCTGCCTCACCACTTCCCAGCTCTTAGCTTTGGACTAGCAGGTTAGTTTTCTTACTCATTGTTTAAATTATTTCAGCATCCAGAATATATATACAGTATATTGTTTTGTATTAAAAAGAGTAATTTACTGTTAGGGCATTATGATAAGCAGTTTTAATATGCATATTTTTGAGCTGTTATGTCTAATATGTTTAGGAGAATACTAAATCTTTTCTGTGGGGAGCCCCTCCGGCTCCCTGGAGCTGTCAGACTGATGTACGCTATATTAGTCTAGGGCATCAGTCAGTGGACCACAAGCCATAACCTGGCCCTCAGAGAGGCACATTAAGCAATGGCCTATGGAAACCCCCATGTGTTTGGGAGCATTCCATGTCTGCCATCGACCCGAGTTTGGCACCCAGAAAGGTAGGCATAATAAAATAAACTTACCCACTTGGTAAGAAATTGCAACCAAAGACCGAACAGAGAGACAGAACTCCCCCCAAAACATAAAGAAACAAGCAAACGTCATTCGCCGCGTTTCTGCGCACCCCTCCCCTCCTCGAGAAAGGAAGGGGGTAGACCGGGACCTCCGCGCCGGCTACTCGCACTTCAGTTCGTAGTCTGTTGCCCTCTGGGGCGGTCGTCAACTCTGGCCTCGATTTCTTGGCGGAATTAGTGCCTTTGTGGTGTTTTCTGCTCTTTATGGTACGGTAGCCAGAAGTAACATCAGTGTACTGGGGCTGCATGCGCTTAGGGCTGCCTTTCCTAAACATCCTCTAAGTACTACCCTTGGGTTTTAGGGTTGCTTTCCCTAGAGCCTTTGGGGCTTCACTTCCTTAGGGGTTCTTGCTGCTCCGCATTTTCCCTGCACTTGGGGCAGCTTCGTCTGCACAATTTATCATGTTGTTTACTGGTGACCACTATGGTCTTTGGGCACCATACCAGTTTACTTGTACAAGTATGGTGAATAAAACAGGTAGATATTTATATATAATGTGTGTATATAGCATAATAACATCACTAACAGTATTGTTGGAGGAAAAATATTAGTGCGTCTGGCCTTGAGGTTGGCAGCCAGCTGACTGTGTGAGTAGCTACGTCTTTGTGCCTTTACTCACCATACAAGCTTAGATATACTGTTATGGTGAACAAAACATGTAAATACTTATATATAATGTCTGTATATAAAAGCAAAAACAGTATGGTTGGTGGAGAATGGTGGCAAGTCAGGTGAGGTGAGGGAGGGAGGGAGGGAGTGGCAGCCAGTGGCGGGCTGCCACTGGCTGCCACTGCCACTGCCACTGCCACTCAGCATACCAACTTAGTGGTTCGTTATGGTGAACACGAATGTAGATACTTATATATAACGTCTGTATATAGTGAATAAAAGGAAAAGCAGTATGGTGGGAGGAGAATGTGGGCGAGTGAGGTGTTGAGGGAGGGAGTGAGTGGCTGGCTGGTACACGGCGGTCACTCCTCGTTACTTTTTACCCCTCGATAATCGCGGAGTTACAGTATTTCTACTCCAACAATACTGTTTGTGGTGTTATTATGCTATATACACACATTATATATAAATATCTACCTGTGTTTTATTCACCATACTTGTACAAGTAAGCTGGTATGGTGCCCAAAGACCATCGTGGTAACCAGTAAACAACACCGTCGTCTGCACGGTGGCGTCGTGCAGACGACGCCACCGCCCTCACCAAAATGGCGGCTCCCAACCTTCTCCTCTTGCTGTTTATACCCTTTATACACACGTTATATATAAGTATCTACATTTGTGTTCATCATAGCAAACCACTAAGCTGGTATGGTGAGTGCAGTCAATAAAAGGTGGCTACACACAGTCAGAAGACGACGCCACCACCCTCCCTCCCACTGCCTTACTCCTCCCTCCATGGAGCACAGCGCTAAATATCACCACAATCTTGCTATTATCAGAACCCTGGTCAGTTTTATCACAGTCAGGGGTCTTCTGAAATAATATCATCGCTACATAATAGCATGAACAAGTATATTATGGCATTTTTAAGCGATGCTGTGGTCATAAGCTGAACAGCAGTGCTGTTAGCTCATGCTGCGTGCTTCAGGCTTGGTTGCTCACTCAATACTGAGGCTCCTAACACCCGGGAGTTTGGGCCACGATTTTTTTTAAAAATGGCGTCTGTTTACAAGAGCCCTGATGAATGTGTGGTGAACCCCGTGTATCCGCGGGCCGTTTAAATCTTGCGTAGTACTCCAACACGTCACATGACGTGATGCGCAGTTGACTGGAACAACGTCTACCACGTCATATGACGTGATGCGCACTTTAAGGGTTAAACTCTTTCGCATTTGCATTACTCGTTCCAGGGGTTTTCTGTAAAAGGTCTTCATGCAATTTCCTTGCTTTTTCACAAATGATGGCCTCTGAAACTATCACCCGCTAACTCCTTGCTGTGTATCCAAATTAATAATAACTGTTCAACATCCTTAAGTGTTTGGTTTGTGTTCTATGTTTCATGATTATTGATACGCCTTTTGCCACTTTAGCACTCATAATGTCCTATTTCTTAGCCAGTACGGTGGATATCGTTTACTGAGATTTGTTGTACTGCCTAGCTAGTTCAACAACCCGCACACCATCTTCATATTTACGAATGATCTCTTGTTTTTGCTCTATGGTCATCCTTTCATGGATTTTCATATGTTGAACCTTACCACTGACTTTCTTGGGACCCATGGCGTGATATTTAATAATTACTTTTATGTTCAAAAAGCAAAAAATCACCAATAAAACGGAATTTCTTATAGGCGTGAGCGTCACTAAGTGGGCAGCTGTAGTAAACTGAGGCAGGTCTGCCCGCATGACCGGGGACCACGCGCTCGGTCGACCCGAACGTGTACCATCAAATATCGTTAGTCAACGACAACATCGTATGTCGAGTCGCATTTTTCCATCAAATTTACATCGTAACTCAAAATTATCGTAAGTCAGGGCAATCGTAAGTCGATGTGCCACTGTATTTGTATAAATTCAAAATGCCTGGCATGCCACCCACAGCAAACCAGAAAATCAGGAGATCATTACCCATGAGAAAGAACCCGCACTAAAATATGTTTACTCTTTTCAGTTTTCTCACCTCAATTTTTGCTGTAGGTTGTTCATTTTGGTATTAAATTTTTAGCAATAGAATTCTCGAAAGGGATATATGCATATAAGATTCAGAAGCCCAGCGCGTTACCCACAGCAAACACGAAAATTTGGGGAGCTCAAAAACTCTGGTCACGAAAACAATGGGCCTACTTCATGGGAGGCAGTGCCTTGATGCCACATGGGGCATCACAGATAATGGGAAGACATTGGCGCTTATTTTAGAACATGTCGCATAATTATTGGAATAAAAATGTAATTTTAACAAATATTTTAATAACGGATGCAACATGTGTCCCTGGTCAGGATCTGTAGAGTTATATACAGACTCATATAGTGTCCCTAGTCAGGCAAAGTGTTAATGCGTGCTTGTTCACCCCTATGCTTCCTCGGGATGTTGGCCTTGTGCAGCTGCCCGTACAGGTTCCCATCCTTTTGGCATCTTTGGTGGCTGAGGGTTTGTGTACTTGTGGGCATTTGGTCTTGGTCTTGTGCTTCTTTTCCCTTCTCGAGTTGTCCTCGGACTGGCTTGAGGAGGACATGAAGGGGGTTGAGTGCCGACCTTCGTCTGGGGCACTGGCCTCGGTGGTTAGGGCATCGACAGTGCTGTTGAACCTGTTTGTGCTGATTCTCAGGGAGGTGGTGTCTCTATTCTTTGTCAGAGGCTTCATATGTCGCCAGGCCGAGCTCGCTCGCTCCTTGGATTCCACTTAGGCCCTGGGTCTTAGGTTTTCATCGTCTTTTTGTCCATTGCTGTTTGCAGACTTTGCTGTCACACAGTTTCTGCAGGCGGCCTTGTCTAGTTGCTGTTCTGTGTAAGATTTGTTGCTTCTCCGGGGTGGCTGCGAGGGGAGCCGTTCTCGGGCCTCTCGGAAGGATCATGCTGTGGCTTTGGGTTCTTCCAATCAGGGTAGGCCTTTGGTGCTAGTTTCTGAGCCTGCGTATCTTTTGGAGCCGGCGTCATCTGGTCGGTGCAATGCTCGCTCTTCTCGTCAGCCGGCTTTTTGTAAGGGGCGTCAGCCCTTTCACGAGTCGTTCCGTTGACGGGGGCGCTGGGATCCAGGTGCTCACGCCTGGGTCCCATGTTTGGCAGGCATTTCGGGTCATGTCCTCTGGCCTGCGGCTCCTCCTCCTCCTTCGGGGGGTTTAGGGCTGGCAGGGCAGGCTTTTTTCCCCTTCGCTCCATCGGGTCATCTTGGAGTGGGTACGCTTGGGTGTAGTCGAAACGACTCCGACCCTCAGGTGGGTTTCCCGCCTGTTTCCAGTGCTGAATAGAACTGTGTGGATCTTCGGTTCATTCTGGACTTGTCCCATCTGAAGCCCCATCCGGCCTGGTGAGCACTGGTCACAAACCCCAGCCGAGAAACGAGACATCCATGAACACATCGAGCAAGGGCTCAAGTAGACTCCAAGGCACTGAACCCCGAAAAACCCGAATAGGAAGCTGGCAATGCAGCAACTCATGCAAGGCCACTGGAGGCTGAACCCAGCGGTCATGAGAGAGGTGGAAGGAACAGTCCCGAAGGAACCAGAACAGATGCCGAAGTCAGACCTGACCTGGCAGGTAAACCAGCTTGGCAAACCAGCACCCCTGGATTCCTTGCCCCTCCTTTCGGATGACCACTCTGTCCCAGGTCTGGTTTCTTTTGGAGCCGGGTTCTTAGATGGTGTGTCTGGACCTCCTGGATGCATATTGGCACTTTCCTATTCATCTAGGGTTCAGGGACTGGTTAGGTTTCGTTGTAGGGCAGCAGGCTTACCGCTTTCGTTGCCTTCCTTTTGGCTTGAATCATTCCACTTAGGCCCTGGGTCTTAGGTTTTCATCGTCTTTTTGTCCATTGCTGTTTGCAGACTTTGCTGTCACACAGTTTCTGCAGGCGGCCTTGTCTAGTTGCTGTTCTGTGTAAGATTTGTTGCTTC